TTTTAGAAATTTATTATTCACAGGGGAAAAAAAAAAGTATAAAATGCAAGGTATATCATACTGAACTGTCTATCAACTCAGAGGATTACAATTTCCCTTTAATGCCAGCTGCCTACATTGCAGTAACTAAATCAATGGAATATATTGGCCATTTTAAATGCATGCTGCGCTGCCCTCCTGCCAGTGCCCTTGGCTGACCAGCCACCTCTGTCCTGTACACCAAGGAGGGAGCTGGCAGGACGAGCCAGCAGCCAAGGTGCTTTCTGGGCTGCTTGAGAGGAGTCCTGTCACCGCTGCAGCAACTGCTGCCAGTGTCTTGGCAAGCTGGGCCTGGGCGACCTGGGGGCGGACATGCCCCATGCACGGTAGTATCCAGCTGGCTGGGAGATCACACATGTGTCAAAGCTGGCTGGATGGTATTAAAAGAAGGAAATAATTTCATTAGCTGTCACAATATTTTCTTTCTAGATTTGTCTCATTCAGTATTCTTTTGTTGTGTCATCTCTACTAAAAAAAAAAAATCCAGATGAGAAGAAGCATGTTGAAACAAGCACACAAAAATGGCTTGCTTTCATCTTATTTGAAAGATTTATCACATGCTCCAGGTTGCCGTTAGGCAACATTATTCTAACAAGGTATGGCCAGCATTTTTATAGTGTATGAAACATTTTCTTCAAGATTTATGTGCTCCCTCTATTTATAGTCCATACGTTGTGTATATTACAAGCTCGTGTGAAAAAGACTCAGGAAACTTTCTGAGACTCATGTTGGGTTCTTTTTTCTTCCCCCAGTAAAGAAGTCATAGACACAACTAGATACCCATACCCAACGCATATTCAGACACATCTGCAGCTTTCGATGTGCAAATAGCTTTTAAAATCTGTTTCCATCACTTTATGTGCCTTATAATGCATTACAGAAGTTTACATGCCTTAAATCTATTGAGACTGCTTTATTACTCAGAAGAAAAAAAAATACTGAAAACTACCACTATCCTGTTGACAATTGGGGAAAAAAAAAAAAAAAATTACCCTTGGCATTCTCAGAAGCCATCTCTACTGCAGGTGAAAACAGACAGACAGGATGTGGCTTGGCAATGGAGTGAGCTCTAGGATTCAGCAGGGAAAATCTCTGGTATTTTAACTCTGAGCAGGCATCTCATAAGGTCCCTGCTAGAGAAGCACTTCATTGACTTACATGCATATTTCAGAGCTTTTCTAAATCAGAATTCCCTCAAAGGGCTGTATGCTGAGCTATATTTCACTATTAAGTTTAGAGTAAGACCCAAATCATAAATAAAGGCAAAATCCATTCCTGATGTGAACTGGGGTTACGCCGGAGATGAATTTGACACAACTGACCTGTTTGGTTTTTCTCTCTTATGGAAGGAAAACGCAGAGACTTGAGGAGCACTCCTTTGTCAACGTGCAACAACAGCACAGCTTGCAAATGCAGTTGCACGAGTCTCGCAATCTTTCACCCAGGGCTTATTCTAGAAACCTCTTCCTCCCTCACCCCCATCAACTGCAACAAAAGTTTTGGTTGAGGAAGGAGCAAGGCCCAGAAGAGCTGCTCTCTCCCTCATGTTGCAATATCCAATCTGAGTGTTACTATCAACTTTTGGAAACTGACTGTATAGAAAACACAGATGATGTTTGCATATTTTAATTTTAAACATCTTTGCTCGGCATAAGGATGAAACCTAATAAGTTGCTTTGTTTCTGCCTCATGAATTAATTCAGCCTGCTAACTGATTTGGATAAAGCATTTTGATTCCAAGTAATAAATTTGTCTTCTGGGCAGGCAAAACAACTTTTGGAGGCAAACTAACAAGTTCATCTGCTTGCCAGGAGAAGTACTTTTATAATACATATAAGGAATAGACTTTTTCTTTTTCTAACCCACTTGTTCCACCCATGTCTTCTAAATCAATCAGATAAATTCACCTTGTTTTTCAATGCCCTGAATCCTGATAGCTCTGCACACTTGATAGGTAATTTAATCATCGTTGGTGTGGATGAACACAAGCTCAAATTAGCTTCTGAAAGGCTTAGTCGTCCTGTAGATAGCTCTGCCTTTCCACTTTTATGCAGGAACTGAGCTTCACCAACTGGTTAGCTAGAGGTGTCATTAAAAATTTACAGAAAGAAACAAAGGTGTGCTCCAGCATCTCTCCTTACCCTTTCTACTGTTACTCTGGCAGACAAAAGGTATGGAACCTGCTTCATGAATAATGAGTCATGTAATATGCATAATGCATTTTTAATGGCACGCAGTAATAACATTGAGAGAGATATTTCCAATCTTCAGACTTGCACCACAGCCTCTCAGTAGCCTGTTCTGATTCTCCCCACACAGATCTTCTTTTCCTCCTCTTCATTTGCCATAACTTTTTCCCAGAGGTAGCCACATTTCACCCAAATCAGCAGCTGAGCTGGCGCCTGCTGCAAGCAGGGCTGGTGAGGCGGGGAACACCCTCCCATGCAGCCATGTAGGGCCCATTCAAAGGGGTTTGGGCCTGAGCAACGGCTCGACACTGGTGCCCCGAGGTATACCAGTAAGTTGCAAGATGCTCTGGGGGAACACACACTGAAACCAATAAAAACACCTGCCGAGTTTCTTCTCTTGAAGAACAGGCTTACCACCCAGGCTGTGTCAGTGCTGCAGAGCCCTCCCACCCCACCAGCTGCTGCCTCCCCTGGCTGCCCACCCCCAGCCAGCAGGTCAGCACTAGGCTCAAACCACACTAGTTGTCCTGTTTGAAAATGAGACACTCGGGGGGGGGGCAGGTACACATTGCTATCTTAGTTTTAAAGGTAAGTATCGGTAACTGAGCCGGCTCAGGGCCTGCTGGAGTAAGGCCTGCCTGCCGGGAGGGAGGCTGTGCCTGGCAGGAAGAGGTCCTCCTGAGGGCAGAGGGGCTGGGGCCAGCTCCTGCACCCCGGCCACCCTGTGCTGGGTACACCTGGCCAGCACTCGCTCCACCTACAACAGCAGCTTCCCTGTAAAATAAACATCAAGCATCGCCCCAGGGGCAGCCCCAAGCCTACCTGCATGCCTGCTGAGCTGCTCCTCAAAGCCTCCCTTGGTCTGGGCAGGGCCCAGGGCATCACCAGGCCTTCCCCATTACCACTTAGTCTTCTACAGGGATCTTCTGCATTAATTAACCCAGCATAATAGGCCTAATGTGGTCTTCAGAACACCTTGCACCTCCTGCGGTGCTTGTGCCACAGCCTCTCACCCTGGCCACTGTGACTGTGCGCCACATTTCTGTTTAATAAAATTCCTGCCTGTGAAGCCTTGGTGTGGGCAACCATGTGTGGAAGAGCTGACCCCTGCCCAAGTGGCACATGCTGGGTTAGCCCTGCAGAGCTACAGTTCCGCCACAGCCTGCAAGGGCAACCCTGTGAGGAAGGGCCTGCAGCTGAAGTTATCAGAGGTGGCAGAAAGCAGAAGCACAGAGGGACCTGGGTGGCACCATGGCAGGTGGAGTGCCACAGCCCTCAGGTGGGCAGGGTGCCCCAGAGGCTGGGCCAGCCCAGCGGTGGCCTCTGCTCACAGGTTTTATCCAGAATAAAAGTACAAAGCTGGAAACGAGAGTATGTATCCATGTGGGCACACAAGGTTATGTGCACATGTAAAAGCCCAGGCTGCCATGCTGTGCTCTGCTGGGAAAAGGACAAGGGACCCCTCCGTCATCCTCTTGCTTCTCTTTTGTATGGGCTGCGACTGCCAGATGGAGCAAGCCCTGCTGACAAGGCAGGCAGGCAAAAGGCAATTCTGTTGTGAGTCCTAACAGGCTTAAGTATAAATGACATACCTGCTGCTCAGGTGTCCGTACAAACTCCCAGGCACAGACATTTAATCTTGCAGGAGGACATTCAAGTTCCTCCTGGGTTAAGTGGGGAATTCTGCCAGTCTACGTTTTCAAAGCAGACGCTTAAAACTGCTGTTTCCCCTCTAAACTCTTTTATGGTGATCGTTCTAAGCACAGTATACCCCAGTCTTCAAAAGTGTGAAGTATTTTAACTGAAATCAGTGGGAGTTGGACAAATAAATATGGCTGTGTTCTTTAATCACCAGAGCACTTGTGCAAATTCTGCTATGCCTGCATTCCCTCCTTCAATGCCATATCCCTGGCCATCACTGTGGTATATTGTTGTAACAGCTGACATTCACAAATGTGCTGAAGTTACATATTAAATAAAAATCATTCTGGACCATCCTCAATACTTTATTAACTTAAAACATTGTTCCAATAAATATGTACCAATAAACATAAGACACTCCATAAAATCTAAATAAGGACATTTACAAACCTGTCAAGAGTAAAAACAGCATTTTTTTAAACTGAGGTACATGCAGGGTCATTTAAGGCAAATTCAGTCAATTATACTTTTATAATGATTCCTGCCCACCTCAGCTGAGTTTCCCTTTAAAAATTAAAAAAACAAAAACAAATATACAAATGATGCTATTGAGTAGCTGTTTTCCAGTTATTAGAACAAGCCCAGAGTGCAGAAGCCAGTAATGGTTCTGGACAGAAAGTCTGTGCCTCCCTGGTGCTCCTGCCCTCCTCAAGGCATAACTCTGTGCTTTGGCCTTTCCACTTGTCTTTCACAAGCTTCCTTCTCCCCAGTGGATGCAGCAAGAAGTAACCCCTCATGCCTCAAACACACACGCACACAGCCAGGCCTTGCACAGAGAGATGGCTCTGGGAGGATAGAAAGGGCCTCTCTATAAATGTTAATGAAGCCCCTGATTTGCACCAGAACAAGTGAGAGCAGGATCAGGCTCAAGCTGGTACCCTTGCTTAAAAACCAGCAAGACGTGAAACTGCACGGTTCAGTCCTGATCCTCCAGGTTTTCCTGACAGGAAACCAAGAGTGAAGCCATTCAGCACTGCAACTCAACCAAGGCAAGCGCTCCCTACACCACATGCTGATGGCTCTCTGTCATTACCATGTAAACACTGTTATAGCCATGTTTCCCTGCAAGGTGATTCAAGCTACTGAAAACTTCTGGGGGTTGATCTTGGCCATGGGAGAAATATTTTCCAGCTTACAGATATCTGGTAGCTTATCCATCTTTGGAGTATCAGGCTTCATATCTAATAGGCTTATTTTCCAGTGTTATTTCAGAAACAGAGAGGGGAAGAGAAAGAGAGAAACCCCAGCCTTTAATTTCCGCTTTCACAGTCATTCGGGTTGAGCTATCAATGCATGGCCCTGTCCTCTTCTTTCCTCTCCGAGCTCCTGGTCAGAAAGGTAATGCCAGGGTCTGTGCTCAGGACAGGGCTTGGGTCCAGCAGGGAAGCCAAGGGAGTCTGTTCTCATAGTGTTGTAGGTGTTTTCCATATTGCAGATGTGAGTCATTTCAGGCCATGCTGTGTCTCCCGGTGTCTCCGTAAATCCACCTTTCGTTGGAAGCCTTTGCCACACAGATCACAGCCAAAGGGCTTGAAGCCTGTGTGCTTCCGACTGTGGGTGATGAGGTTGGAGCTCTGACTAAAGGCTTTTCCACACACCTGGCACTTGTGAGGCTTCTCACCTGCAAGCAGAAGGCAGGAGAGAAAGGGTGTGAAAGAGGCAACATGCGGCTTATGCCGGACCAGAGCAAACACACACTGGGCCTTAAAGCTAATCAAGGGGATTCCTGTGTGATTACCAAAGAAGTCATCCTTACAAAAAACATGCAGCTGGAAGCCCCAAAGCATTAGCTGAGAGTGCACTGCAGATGAGCAGGCCTGGACTTGGCTGCACCTCCATCGGCCCAGTATAGTCTTGGGAGCAGCCTGAAGCACAGAGTGCTCCGAGGACACTGCAACTTGTGAACACATTTGGCTGCATGGGCTCTGTGTGATTTAAACTGGTTTTGTGTCCTAGAAACATGAGGAACTCCTGGAAAGACCCCCAGGTCATGGTGAATCCCTGACATCAATTATTATAGCATCAGCACGGGGGCAGGTGGAATAGATAGATGGAGGTTGTTAAGCCAAACCCAGTGAGCTGGGGTCTGTCCCCAAAGAAGGCATGAGGGCCCTTAAGTGAACCCTGAAGGGCAGGGTTCATCCAGACATCTGCTCTTTTCTGTTACCCACACTGAAATGCTAGCAGACACCCGAACTAGCCCTGAAGTTCTCCTGCAGGCAAGTAATGTAAATGGGAATAAATCCAGCCTCTGGAACTTCTCCTACAGAGGGGTCAGTGGCAAAACTCCACTGGCCTCCATGGGAGCAGGATCTCAGTGCATTTTCATAGTGTTTGTTATCAAATAACATATAAAAGGGAACCCAACCACAAAACCAAGCCTGATTTTCAGAGTGGCTTTGCACCTGCAGAGCCCACTGACTTCAGCTGGAGCAACAAACTCTTTGCAAGTTTGAAGATCAGATTCTTAGAAACATAAAATAATACAAAGTGTGCTGAAGGCTCAGTTCACAAGTGTATGCTGCATATGAAAGGGATCCCTGATTCAGTTAAGGACCTGGTTTTATATTAGCAATTTAAAAGCCCAGGCACAGTTTCTGATCTCACAACAAAATAATGGTTTTGATTGATTCAGAATTTGGCTGAAATTCTACTTAATCAAGCCTCATTTGAAAAAGTTACTATGGAAATACTTTTTATGTTGCTTCCTAAATACTTCATTTTCATCCAGCAAACATCTGGTGGAAAATCTTTCTAAGTAACATTTATTGTTCACTGCTCATCATCTAAAAAAGTCACAACCAAGCAGTGCTACATATAATGCCATCTTTCTACATATTTGCCATTTTTAGGCTTCACCCATGATATCTGCTAGTGGTCACTATCTGGAAACAGGATTTTGGTCATCTGAACCTTGGGTTTGGCCAGTACAGCTGTTATTTCGTGTCTACAAATGCTTCTGCATCTCACACATCATTCATTTCCCTCTACTTTAAGTGAATGGTGCAGGTCTGAAAGGCAAGATTTTCTTTTAAAGATTTCTGACAAACCTGCCTTCTCACTGAATGGTATTTTTAAAACAATTTCCTTTGGTGATTCACCTGCACTTTATTAGTTTCCATGTTTGTTACTAACAGTGAAACTTGAGAACTCTGCACCTCTCCTTCCATTCTGTATCAAACTGCAGCCATTTCTCAGAAAGTCTGGGTGGAAGTGCAGACAATCTCTGAACAAATATTTAGACTAAGAGTTGGACCCTAGGCCCTCCAATTTAGTGTTTGGTCTAGAGGAGAAGACTCCTGTTGTTCCTATTGTAAATTGGTAGATCCTGCAAAAAAAAATGCTGCAATCAAATTCACCTGTCATTTTCCAGGGACCTCAGCTGTAAATCAAGGCTACACGAATATAATACTCTACAAATCGTCTTACACAAAAGCCCTTTGAATAAACATTGGTGGATCCCATTAAGGGAACACTGATTGGACTGTGAAGATTTGGGTTATTTTGCAGCTGCTGTTCATAAAACCACATTCAAATCACCCTTCTTTGCAAGAGTAGAGCTCAGATAGCATGAATAGCAGCAGGGCAGTGAGAAGCACGGGGAGATGCATGTATTGTCCCAGCTGAGGAGGAATGGACTGTTGCAGAGAGACCTCTTCAGAGACCCGCCCTTATGGTTGGAGTTGAACACCAGCAGCTGCAGGGCTGACCTGTGTGAATGAAGGTGTGTTTCTTCATATCGGATTTCTGGTGGAACCGCTTCCCACAGTACTGGCACGGATAGGGCCGAGTGTCCGAGTGGATTAGCAGGTGGGTGGACAGAGTAGAAGATCTCTTGAAACTCTTGCCACAAATCTTACAATCAAAGCTGCGTTCCTGCAGAGAGAGGAGCCCAAACACATGTTACACCACACCAGCGATCCCACCAGCAACAAACTGCCCAGCAGCACATCAGTGTTGCCCCTTCTGCCTTAGCAAGCACTTCCACTTCTCCAGAGAGCTGGACTGGCCTGCAGAGACGCTAACACTAGCATGATAGCACCACGTGATAAAAAAGATAATGCACCCTCTCCCAGTGCTGTGTACCGCTCCTCACAGAAATTTAATTGAACAGCTTTTCCTGCTGGCAGGAATGGCCAGGTGGGAGCAGCCCTGACTGGGCAGACTCTGCCTGCACATTTCAACAGAGCCCAAGACATGATCACTCCACTGGGAAGCCCAACAGCTGCAGCACTGTTCAGAGGCCACCTCTCCACTGTACACAGGGAAGTGGGTGCTGAGGTCTACTTGGGTCTCCTGGGAAATCTCTGTGGCAGGCTGACTTCTGCTCGCAGGGTAACAATTAACTGCTTATTTGTAGTTCCACTGAAATTCAAGTGAAAGGTACCTAGACCACCTGAGGATAACAGCTTTTTGGCTTACCACTTTAACATATCAAAACAAATGCATTAAGACCTTGCTGTCTCTCTCCTCGCTCCCCACACTCCTCTCCACCACTTTCTTCCACCATAAATCATCTCTTCTTTCCATCCCTTAACTACCATCACACCTTCCTCTTCCTGCTATGCTTTCATACAATCACCTTAGTTTATTTGGCTTTTAACACACTCTCCCTGAAATGCCGTCCCCTCCATGGATGCAATACACAGTGCTGCTCTTTCCACCATTATTTAATGGGTGATGAGGTATTTCCCCTCATTGTGTGCTCTGCTGTTGCACACTCATGAAATTGTAAATAAAACAGTTAGCAAAAAAACACTGCTGTAACTCTATCCTCTAAAAGCCAATGTGAAGAAGGAAGATTTGCCAAATCAAGTGGGTGGGTGAAGGGGAAATATGGCACAATATCAGCAGGTGGAAAATGTTACGAGTCCTCCTACCAAAATTAACTACCATATTCTTTTGGTGTGTGACTCAGAGTGTGTCGAGACGGGTGAAGTCTGTGCTCTATACCTGACTGGTCGTTCAGATGTTCCCTGCACAGACACAATGACTACAAACAAGGGAGGACTCACTTCTTTGGGGGAGGGGAGGAGAAAGAATGAGGAGAGCTGTGTCAAAAGAAAGCACAGTGTGTTGCTTTACCTGTTAAAGAAAGTCCACATCCACATTACAACTTCCAGCTCCGAGAGTGAAAATTTATTATTTATTATCTGTTACTTCTGGAGTGCCAAAAGTGCCTATTGCTTAATACAGATGCACGCAAGGTCTGGGAAATGGAAACAAAGCCTGTGTTCTTTAATTCATTGATTTGCTCCTTTGCTCACTAGCTGCCCACCATTTCCTCTGCCTGCCACCATATTCTTCATCCACAACTGCCCACTGCAGCCCTACCATGTTCTCTTCCTCTCCTCAGTTTAGATGCCCACCTACAGCCCTGTGACTGCCTTCATGGCTTCCCCAGAGCCAGTTGAAGCAAGCAGCTGGCCCTGGCCCTTGGACCTTCATCCTGGCAGTCTGCCCCGCTCTCACCTGTGAGTGCACGGCCTTGTGCTGCTCCAGGCTGACTGCATGGCCGAAGGTCTTGCCACACATGTCACAGGCAAAGGGCCTCGTGCCACTGTGTGAGCGGCGCACATGTACCTCAAGGCCATGTGGTGTGGAGAAGACCTGAGGGGAGAGAGCACACAGGGTCAGGCTTGCCAGGGAGAAGGGGCTGGGGAAGAGTCATAACCAGCATAGGAGAAAGGGATCCCTACCTTGCTGCACTTGACACACTTATAAGAGCCAGTGCTGATGAGCAATGGGCGGCACAAGAGGTCTGACTCCACTTTGATGCCACCTCGCCCCTTCTCTTGCTGCAGCCCGGGCTGCGTCTCGGCATAGAGTCCGGGTGCTGCTGCTGGCGGCCGCTCAAACAGCCCTGGGCCTGGGGAGCCGAAGTCACCATAAAGTCCGAGGGAAGAGCTACACTCTGCACTGTAGAGGGCAGGCTCAGAGCCTCGCTCGCAGAAGAGCCCCAGGGCTGAGGTTCGCTCCAGTGTCGGGCAGGGTCTGTAGCTTTGCACAAGGTGCCTCAGCTCGGAGCCACCCAGGCTGTTCCACATGTATGGTTTGAAGGGCACCGAGAAGGGGGGTGCTTCATCTAGGGATGGACACACAGATCGCTCTGAGGCTGCAGAAACACAAGGGCATAGGAATTAGTGTGCCTCACAGTCCAGCCACTATCGTGGTGCAGAATCATCTCAGCACTCAACTTCTGCCCAGAACCCTGTACTGCACATTAAGGCTGCCCTTTCGTCTCTAATGGGAGGACATTTTATATTGCACAGTAGGGTCTGTGCATCCAGCACTACATACTCACCTGCTGTCACAGTCAAACTATTTAAAGCAGCCACCGATTTTGTCTGCCTCCATTTCTGGGTGCCCAGGTGTGTACACACTGATCTGACTGTTGAGACACTAAACAACTCAGTCTGCAACTTCCTTTGGTTTTATCTGCAGCTCCCCAGAAAAGCGTATCTTACTTTGTCCCAAGATGGGCATCAAAGCTGACAGTCCATGTTTAAGCTCTGACATAGATCCCACATATCCATATAGAAAATATGATATTACAGAGGTGCCAGAAGGAGCAAGCGTGCCGAGATTTACCTGTTCAACAAAACTAAAAACTGCTTGTTGCACAATTCAATGCCCAAATCTATTCTCTCAACTTCATGCCACAACTGTCTGTAACTGTACTACAGCATAATTGAAATAAAGAACAGCTTCTGAGGTGCTTGAATATCATGTCTCAATTTTTCAGAAAAAAAGATAAACTAAAATCATCTGAAAGTCCTCATCTGAAAGAAAATCATGGTTGTTTCAAATTGCTCCGAGTTTCTCCAGATGAAGAAACTGAGCCCACCTAAAACATAGAGCTTTGCAAAACCATCAGTATGGACCGCCTTAAAAATCAAAGAGACAAAAAGATTTTCCTAGCAGTCATAATCAAAGCGATCTTTCACCAGGACAGGCTCAGATGGCTTCAGTTGGCTGACAGGCTCACCTTTGGCAATGGCATCTGACCAAGGCAGTGGGCACCACAAGATGAATCACAAGATGAGGGCCCACAGTGGAGTCTGATGCAATGACAGGAACACAGCCTTTGAGATCAGTGTCTAAAGGCACAAACGCTCAGGGAGCCTCACATAGAGGAAAGCACAGTTGGGCAGGGAACATGAGGGACCAGACCCCAATTGTGTCTGTCAGAGATGCTGATTAATGCCCGAGATGCTCTGCTTTCATTCTTCATCACAACAACCAGCAGCACTGGGAGAGACAAATGTCTCCATTGGACAAGTGTTTTACTGAACCAAGGAAAAGGTGAACCAATTAACTGCTGAAGTGCCGATGCCTTCATAGAGATATTGACACCCCTTACAACTTGGGCTTCCAGAATAACCTCCCTTACCCAAAAACTCGTCCACCCACAATTTCTCTTTTGCTTTTTCTCATTCCTGTCAGCTTCACAGTTCCCATGGCTTTCTCAGCCTTCGGCAAGCCAAAATAACCAGGGGCGGGCTTGGGAAAGAAGGCATGATGTGTTAGGCTATCCATTTGGATAGGCAGGTGGTCACTGAGGGTTACAGAATGGAGTGGGAAATGAGGTGAAAATTGAGCTTTGAATGACTTGACTGTTTCCTATCTTTTACATAATTTCAGATGTTAACAGTCTCAAATTCTTCCAGTGAAATCAGTGGTCTTTTGGTTGGAAATATATGCGCACGTACCAAATGGGACATTTGAACAGAGCGATGAAATCAAATTAGCTGACATGGTGCTGAGCATGATTTTTCCTGTTCTGCACTGACTGCAAAGTTGTGGTCAGCGTCACATCATCTATTTTGTGTCTTTGCAACCAGTTTCAGTGTTGCCATCTCTCACGATTTTATCGCAAGATTCAAAACTATCTTAAAGCCCCAGCTCTTGAAACTGCATGATTTCATCAGGTCCTCAGCTTTCCTTTTGTTTGCTTGTTCTCATTTTAACTTTTTTTTTCCTTCTTAAAGTCAACTTCTAGCCCAGACTGTAAAGAAAAGCGTGAAAACGTAAACCCTCAATATCTCAACACTAGAACTGAATATCCATAAGGTATTACTTACAATCTTGATTCCTAAGCCAGTCCGTTGAGTGAGAGGAGAGGGAAGACTGACCTGATTTTTGAGCCCTTGGAACTGGCAACACCAGACACGGTAAACACTGCACCACAGATCAGTTTGCATGCAATGTTCCTTCCATCACCTCACATGCTTTGGAGACCTCTCAAGCACAAGTGCAGGGGAGCCACTCATGCTATACTTCTCAGGGGCAAGCTCAAGCCATCCAAGACCTGTACCCAGTGTCAAGGCGACCTGCAAACCCTGCTCTGCCACACTGCAGGGCACGTCTCTCTGCCCCCCCTCGGCTCCACAGCATCTAGGCTTCAAAGGGGTGAGCAGGGAGGGAGAGACAGATTGTCCCTCCTCTTCCTAGCAATTCTGTGCTGCTTTTACATAGACCACTTCTGGGAGAAAAAACATTAACAGAAGGCAGGGCAAACTCAACCTGAAATGGTTGGGAACAGATTGATATGCACAGCAAAGAAAGATTCAAGTGTCCTCCACAGACCACAAAACACCACACTTCCGCACAACTCCATCATACCCACTAAAAGTCTCCAAGACTGCAGCATCAACAGGCTAATATACTGCTGCACTGAGCTATCAGGCACCTGTATATGCAAACACATGTGATTACAGACACACGTAGAAAGTGAGGTTAAATAACAAAGTGATTTGCACTGATGGAGTCAACAACATATTAGTGTTAACAGGTATTATGTCTGTGCATGCCCGCCTGGATTGGCAGCACAGGACTCAAAAATAAACCTGAAATCTGCATTTCACTGCATATTGAATTGCAACCTGCACCTATGTTCACTTCTAGGGATAAGGGGGTGATAGTACTACTCACTGCACCTGCCCTGAGCATGATTTAGAAACATAAATTTCTCATCTGCCCTGCCTGTCAAAGCACAGAAACTGTGCCCCACCCAGACAAACACAATCATAGAAATCCAGTCTCTCACCAGTGCGTCTTGCAGAAGTGTCCTAGGCACAAATTCCGGGGGGGGGGGGGGGGGGGGGGGGG